TTACATTAACTAAAACCAAAACCCCATACAGCCACGGTACGTACTATGCGCGTACCTGGTACGTAATGTTGGGACGAACGTCAGGTCCCTGGTACGTACAGGTACGTACTATGTACGTACATTTTCTAACGCTATGTATGTCCCCGGTACGTCCCTGGGATGTGGTAAAGTACGTACTATGTACGTCGCATGTACGTACATTCCAGGTACGTACATTTTATGTTTTGCTCCGGACCAAAACTGGATGTAAAATGATCGAAAGTATACGTACAATGTACGTAGTATGGACATACAATGTACGTACTATGGACGTACATTTTTCAACGACGTATACGACCTAGGAATTTAATTAGAAATAATTCAATGGAAGTCAGCTTAAAATATTTATTAATATAAAAACTCAGGTACAGGGTCATCCCTTATGTCTTGATACACCCGTGAGTCTGGCTTCGGTCCGGCAACTACACCCTTAGCGCACTAAAAAATACAAAAAGAAAACTAAATATTCAAATATCTAATTCTTGCCTCTGTTTTGAAAAAATTGAATGAGCCGATTCTCAATCATTCGAGGTTGTGACTGTGCTAGGTGAAATAGTCACATTATATTATTACACTTTAACTTACCTTGAAACAACGCGCAACGAAGGCAACGACAAAAGAAAACAAGGCGGAAGCCAAACAACCTACGGCCACCATGACACATGACACCCACTCACACAACACAATCGAAAACTGGATCCGAGTAGGTGCGCATTCAGTGTATTGTTGTTTTTATTTTTTACGTTGATTAATAAAAGATGGAGTTACACTGAGTGCGCATTTTTAACCCATCAGATTGAGTACATTTTTAACCCATCAGATTTCTTCAAAGGCTGTCATGCATTATGGTCATTGGATAATTTAGGAAATCATTTTTTATAGCGGTCGGGTTAGCTTTATTAATAAAAGAAGTAGAGGTAGTTTAGAGTGACTTGAATTAACGTTAGCCTAGAAAAGATCCACTGATCCAGTCCATTCATTATTATTGGGTATATCTGACCAAAATATTCCACTCATGATATTAAAATTAAATAACATTTTGTAATGCGTTTTCAAAAATTTTCAAGACACGTACGTAGTACGTAGTCGCATGTACGTCCTTAGTACGTATTCGCATGTACGTCCGTAGTGAAGTCCTACAATGTACGTAAATAGTACGTACATGGGGTACGTACTAAGTACGTATACTTTTATACGTACATAGTACGTCCCTAATTGGTCCCGGGACGTACCGACGTAAAATGTACGTCCGTCCCTGGGACGAAGTGTGCTGTATGGGACATTATCGGTTGGAATGGCGCTTTTGTTTGAGTTAAACTATTGATTTCCTATTTGGTGAGATAAGATTAACAGTTTTGTTAAATTACTAACCCTTTCCTGCTTTAGTGTGTAATAAGGCAGATTAGTTTAACAGGCGCGGTAAGTAATAAAATATGACTAATTATTTATTACGGATAATAAATTTTTATGTATATATATATATATATATATATATATATATATATATATATATATATATATATATATATATATATATATATATATATATATATATATATATATATATATATATTATATATATTCTATAAAAACAGCCGATTTTAAAAATAAAAGGTGTGTTTTAGGCATAGGGTTATATTTTTGGGATGGCTATCGGCATGTTCCACTGCGAAGTGACATGACTAGGAAGATTTATATAATAATTATAATACTGAAAGATGGTTTAAAAAATTTGTGGAGACTTTTTGATATATGAATCCACTGGTAGCTACTAAGACTATAGTACCGTATAATCGAAATAACGAACGGCGACAAAGAAAAGACGGCTGGGTAAGACAATCGATGATCATTTTGGCGACGTCAAGCACTAGACGCCATTTACTAAACATTGACATAAAACTTGTCAAAAATTGACGCTAATTATAGAAATATTAAAAAAGGAACGTTTCTAGGCACAAATCTATTTTCAAACAAATATTTTTCTTGAATTTTATCTGCATCATTTAAAAATTATTTTTTCTCAATATAAAAATAAGTTACAAGCTTCTTAAGGTCAACTGGCAGTATAGGCGCCATTAAAAAATAAAGAAGAGTACGGGCCAAATCAGTGACGTCTAGGACTTGACCTCGCCAAAATTATCAACGATTTTTATTCCCCAGCCGTCTTTGACGCCGTTTTTTTCGATCGTTTGATATAAGGAAAACAGTAGCTTTACTCCTCCAAATATTTTCCAATAGCCGACAAAATTCAGCAGACTGTTGGCAGCATGCATAGCGCAATAATGATTTAAAAATATATTTTTAAATGATATGCACATCTTTAGATACAGTACTTTTTTTTTAATTATTGTTTTACAGGGTGAGTCTTAAATAAGTGCAAATATTTTTAGGGCTAGTATATTTCGAACCCAGAAACGCGATTATGAGGTTTTGTCGCGAAAATTTAGAATTTTTTGAAAACTTTTTTGGACATTTTTTAAGTTTTTAGTTAAAAAATATAATTTGTATTAAATTATTAACGTTGTTATTAATTGCTATTAACTTATTAAATTTACAAGAAAGAAAATCCAGAAAAGATCCAGTGGATCTCAAAATTTTAACCAAAAATAATTTCTTTTGGAAAAAAAAAGTAAAATAACTCTTTTTAATAATAATGTATAATTTTGGATTTATTTCAAAAACGGTAAAGAGAAAATATGTTTCTTTTATCGAGATCTACCCGCCCTGAAAATATTTGCACTTATTTAAAACTCACCCCGTGTAATGTAATAATACAAATTATCTCAATATAATGTAATCTAATCTAACTCTATCTATATTATATCAGATCAAAGCAGGGAATATAAATTCAATTTGGTTCAATATGACACATCATCAGTGAAACGTGATAACATGCTAACTCCATTTTTTACGTGAATAAGTTTTTTATACCGTTAGAAAGAGAAAAAAAATACTATATAAATATGGAAAGCAGGTTAAATTTTTTACAATTAAAACAAATTGTTATTTTAACTCAATAATATCTGCTAACTCCCAGTGACTGAAATAGCCGCCGAAATGCTGCTATCTCCATAATTTCCGTTACGACGCGACGTTACGATCACGCTGAAGCAGATACGCCAATTCTTTATTCGTATGTTTCTTTAGTACAGTACGTCGATCCAGGGTCGGACTACGCCAAAGGGGCCCGGGGGGGGGGGTATTTTTTCGCCTTACGTTTTGGTCAGTTTTTCTCTATTATATATAGAAATCAGGAAACTACCCGTAATGTAAAGTAAACCAAAATGCAATGCACCCAAAATGCAAATATTGTTAATTAAAAAAAAGTTTTGGGGATAACCTCAGAATATTACCGTTACTTTTTTTGTTTCATTTCTATTTAAGAATAGATAATGAACTACTAGGGGCGCCCGCGAAGGCTGGGGCCTGGCTGGCAATCGCCAACCTGATTATATGGCCAGTTCGACCCTGCGTCGCAATACAGGGTATCCTTAAAGGGTAAGGGGAAAAACAAAGTTATCTCTACATGAGCAATTCATGGGCGTGCTATAAACATTTTAAATAATATTGATTATTTTAATATTGTTAATAATAATATTACATACTTACTATACAAAAATTTCCAAAGTGCCAACAACTTCAACTATTTCAAATAATAAAGGCATTTTGAAAAAGCAATTAAAAGATAAAAAACGCTGATAAGACTATCAAAATGTTGATCTAATAACAATTTGACGTTTATACTATGACGTCAAAAGCAACTTTTTCCCAAAGCCTACCATGACTTCACTGAATCATCGTTTCTTGTTCACTGTTATTAATATCTAAATTATTAGATATTAATACCTCTGGTATTATGGTATTCTGGTATTTCGTCGATTTTAAAATAAACTAACTGTTTGTATCTTATTTTTTTGTTAGAATGGACATAATTAAGAGGGTTACTGATACCGTGTTGTAAAAATAAGGTAATTAAGGGCTTACACTTTGGTATTTATTATAATTTTGCTAATATCTTCGGTTTGAAAGAAGATATCAAAATGCGGTTTTCGCTGACTTTTTAAGCTTTTACTACTCTTTACTATCAGCTAAAATTACATATACTATTGCTTATTTTCATAAAAAGCTATTTTAATTTTTTTGAAAAAACGCGCAATGTTTGTTAAATTGTAAGACAACGCCCCCTAGCATCTACGTTCAAAAGCTTATTATATATTTTTAATACCTGTAGACAGAGAATTAAAATAATTAAACTGCTAACTCCATTATTCCCAATTTTACAGGAGAGCAAAAAACGGCACAAAAAAATATGTACCGTGTGTACCACTAAGAATAGCCCTCGGCTGTATCTATATTTATGACTAAAGGGGCTATGAGAAATTGCTGGAAATTATTTTCAAGTTTGTAGAACGACCACTAGGGGGCGCAACTGCAACAAAAAAATATGAAAATGGAGTTTTTACACAATTTTGCCTAGATAAGGTGTACTATAATAAGCAATAGCTTCACAATCTTCAGTAAATTTTGAATATTTTTTGTTAGAGCCATTTTCCCCCATCTATAAAAAATAAAGTGGTGGGGAAGGTTAGATCTGTTTTTATTTAAATATTAATAACTCTGGACTGGATGATCGGAATCCAACAAGCGAGGGCTCGTTTAAAAGAGCGTTGCTTACTCTATATTGTACCATATAAACAATAATAATTTATATCAAACTTAGCATTGTTTGTTAAAAAGTTAAAAACGTGATTCTGTATCTCAAGCAAAACTTATGGCGGCAGAAAATTTGCTTTTGTTAACAATAAATACATTTCATTAATTTCATTCTATTTTTAATTTCAATTATTAATGCATAAGATTTTCTAGTTGATATTTTCAATGTCATCTACACGTAGAGACGTAGAATATAAATGATTTAACAGAAAAAATACCGAACGCACAACATAAACGACCTCTTGGTTAGTCGACACGCTAGATACCATACAAAATAGACGCTTGTTAGTGAACAGAACCTATGAACAGAACGAATATTAGTTTTAGAGAAAATAGTTACATTGTGCATTGTGTATAGTTTTGTAAATGAGTGTAGGTGCGTTATTCAGAAATAACAAAATTTAAAATACATATTATTAGTAGTAATTTACAATAAAAGTGGTAATATAGTTCAAGGTGAGTTGCTTCAATGATTCTAAACTTACATATTTATGTTACAACGATATTATTTTCTGAATATTTGTTTTAATATACCCACCTAATAAAATGATATTTTTAAATGGCTTCTCCAGATCACGTCCGGCGTCCGTCGCGTTTTCGATAATCATATTACCGACGTATTTCAAAATCAAAACACAGAATTTTTATGTAAAATTCCTGTTTTGGTATGTCATATACAAGGTGTTTAAAGAGCTATTTTACTCGCATTATTGTACTATTTGTTTTTGTTATAATGTCATTATGAGTCATACTACAATTTTTTTGTTTGTACACATTTTATTTTAAATAGAGAAATTAACAATTAAAACAAAACTAAAATAACTAATAATTAAAACAAATATATTAATAATTATTACATTTTATGAAATAGATAGTGTGGTTATTAGGCCTAACGTTAAATATAACAGTTTTTTTCATAAACCTATCGATGATTTAAATTATTTTTTTAAGTGATAAAAGTGCTCTTTTGTCAGTAGTCGGACAGTGTTTGCCAGGGTCCGGCCGGTTAGTTGATTAGATTGGCTGATTCTGCAGAGCCCCGTATTTAATATACAGGGTGGTCTATCGAAAACGTTCCGCAAGGCATAATGGCCAGGATATTTTTTTTTCAAAAAATCCAAAAACACGTCAATTTTGTTTGTGAGGGGGACAACTTTTGCCCCAAAAATGATTGCAAAATCTTCAACCCTCTAAGCGGGGGTGTCATCCCCCAACTTTTTTCAAATGGGAAGGGGGGTCAAGTGGTACCGCAATGAAAAGGGCTTTTTATTCTCTATACTTTCCTGCTTCGTTTTTGAAAATCGGTCTAGTCGTTGAGAAAATATGAAGGATTGAAATTTGAAAAGTTTATTTAAACATTTGTCAGTGTAAATGATAAGGATAACTTTCTTCGACCAATTTGCTGTTTTTTCCGAGGTTTTTTCTTATTTTTTCTAGATGTCTACGCATTTTTTCACTTGCCACAAGGTTGAACGATCAGGTGCGGCAGTTGCTAGATAGCTGTTCTGTGACTTGGGCCTTGAAGTTCTTCTCAATATCGTTAAACTGACCCAAAATAGAATTTCCAAAAATACCAGCCCACACGTTCAATTTCTGAGGGCTTTGTGTGTGCACCTCGTGAAAAAACCCTCAGCCCAGTACCGACAGTTATGCCGATTAACTACACCGTTCAAAAAGAAAGTACACTCATCCGAAAAACACACATTAAATAGGAAATTATTATCATTCGCCACTCGTTCACTCACAGTTTCACAAAATTGCAAGCGACGATCAAAATCGTCTTCGTTGAGTTCTTGTACCAACTGAATTTTGTACGGGTGGAACTTGTGTTTTTTTATTAATTTTTTATAATTTTGCATTGGCTAATTTTCTTGTACTCAGCGTACTATCCATAGTAATGCGGGGCACTTAGAAATTTCCTATAGGGCGAATTGGGAACAAAATAACATAAAGCTGCGATTAGTCTTAATTGATAGTTTTAATGGTCCTGTTGAACATTCTAAAAGTCCCCATGCCTGCCATAAGGGGAACATTGACAAAATGGCGCCGCCATCTTGAATTTTTGGCATTTTTTTCTAAATTTGCCATTTATTCAAAAACTTTTAATTTTTAAAGAAAATATGTTAGAAGATAAATGAAAGACGGATAAAATTTCTATAATAAGAGGTACCTTCGAGGCTCCTAGGTAGCACCGTTACCAAGATAGGTACGTAGAAGGAGCACCAACATAACAATTTTTGGCCTGTAGTTTTTAACCTGAAATAAGTAAATATTTTGCTGTTTATAAAAAGGTTAGTGACAAGATCGATGGATGAAAAATTTTGGACAGTACCTGTAAAAATTTTTGGTCAGTACATTGGGCAGTACTGCAAGTATGCTGTCGGGTGGCTTACATATTATTTCTGAGCAGTCGATTAGACAGTAGATAGCTGGGCAGTTTCTACTTAGGCAATACTTGTGCAGGAATGGTACTTAGGCAGACTAGGGCCGGAATTTGTGTACTAGGTAGTACTTGGGTAGTGCAAGGCAGTATTGCAAGTAGTGTCGTCGAGCGGTGTACTTTTGACTAGTTATATTGTCTCGTGCAAATTTGTATTTATTAGCACGCCGTGTTTCTAATGAAGCATGCAAAATATTCCATTTTCGGAAAATCTTCCTGAAATGTACTACACATAGGTACCATCTAAAAGACGCCGGCAACGCATATCTCGGTCATCCCTAATATCGCTTTTGTAAAACTTGGAAAATAAGTTCGTCATAATAATGCTTTTATTTATTCACTATTCTAATAAACAATATGCATTCCTTCGGAAACTCTCTATTTATTTATTTGGTAATGCTAAAACACTCTATTTGAAAGTCGATTAGAGAAAACAGTATGATTCATTGGCAAGCGATGTAAATATTTGTGATCAGGTAAAATTGTGATGTAAGAGGAGGCTTAGCTCGGCAGGCCAGTCAGTCGTTGATAGGCCGGCCGGCTGTATAGTGTTGTGTTTTGTCACAGAGCTGACATTTGGAAGTAGCGAGTCTTTTGACTATGGGAGTTAAAAACCTCTTGACGTCGTTCCTTCGAGGATGGTCTTGAGAGTTTGAGGTCTCTCTTGCTTCTCGATTGACACCGCTGGGGCGTTGTGTGAGGACCCCAATTAGCCCCATCGATTGGGATGCGAATCTGTTTAGCGGCAGATTTGCGTCCGGGGGAAGCTCCTATACTATTTCAGGTGGCACTAGCTAGTTGTTGAAGATTATTAACCAATAAATCCGAGTAATAATTGAATTAGATGGAAGATATGGAATGGGATATATTGAATAGAATTTCAGTGATGTCAGTGGCTAGGGGGCGGAGTACCCCCGGGTGAGTCTTACTATTTAACTATCAATTTTATCCAGATCAGTAAATGTTTGTTTTGTTATTTTCATGTACAATGAGAGAGTGCTTGCCAATGACCAACTAAAGGGATATTTGAGGTGAATTTGCATTGTGAGACCCGGTTGAGTAAGCCCCAAAAATAACGATTTTACATTCAGGTGTGGGGTCAAGCAATCGGTTCACTAAAAATATCCTTGGAATAACAATATTATTTACTTATATTGAACATTATTATTGTTTTGTTGACTTTCATAGATTTTTGAAATAATTTAGCATTACTAGAGCGTTCGTCAGATTAGTAGAAAGTACATTAAATAGCCTGGTTCCATCACTGATTAGAAGGTTTTACATATATGCATTTTTTCAAATTTTGTTATCAAAATTATTTTTAGCACGTATATTCTAAAAGTGTTTTTCCGGTCTCGCAACTAGGAGATCATCAAAATATGATTTTTAGGTTATTCTTAATTTCAAAAATTTGTCATTTGAACATTTCTTGTGTTTGTGTAATCTATTACTCTATTGCATCACATTTCTTAAAGGAAGGGAAGTTTGTTCGTAATTTCAGTGTTCGAATATTTTGTTTCTCTACGCCTGAATAACTCCGTGGCGATAATATTTGTTCAAGGCAAGGGCCGAAAACTAAACAATACAAAAACATAGGCGTTTTTGTCAACTAAAAGTAAACATACCAGGGTTCGCAAAAATCGATAAATAAATTCTTAAAGAAAAAAGTGGACACAGACTAGGCCTATAAATACGCAGGTAGAATTTTCAGTTGGATTGTCACTAAGAACAATCTACATTGTTTACAATTAAATCTTATTTATTCGGATTGAATTTTATAAATACTCCTATCTGTTTCAAAGAAAGTACGTACCTGGTAGCATATGAGAGTCTTTAATATTTTGTCAATATACAGGAAGAAATATATCGGTCTAAAGTCTTTGTATGGTCTTGCTGTCCAAGAACTGGAATTATTAGACTAGTTTTCATTTCTTTTGAAACTTATCCGGTAGATAAAGGAGTGTCTATTAAATTCGATAGAGGATAGTCTACGTCAAACAAATTTCAAAAATTACGCAGGAAACTTTTTCAGATGTCGATTTATTTTTCAAGATAAACACTAAGTAGCTCTTTCAATTTGAGTAATTTAAACCTTTCTAACTTTAGCGTTGTGGTATAATTCCTATGACAAAATCAGTTCATCAGTTTGATATACGTCATCAGTTTGATATACTCTTAGAAATATCTATAATGTTTTCAGCATAAGAAGTGTTAAAATTTTCTTGGATACTTGAACGTCAATTTTGGAAAGGGATTGTAAGGGTATGACCGGTATGACTTCATTACTGCCTACCAATTTTTTATTGTTTGCCTCATTTTCGTACGATTAGCACGACATCCATCGATGTTATTTTTCATAGAACGCTTTTCTATCATTCTGCTTTTATAGTATTCTGTTTATTTTTATAATCTTCCCAGTCTCTCTTATCGTTAGTCAACTGAACTTTTTTATATGTCTCTTCTTTGAGTATCGTTTCCTAATTTAAAACTGTATTAAATAAAATAAAAACCTGTTTAGAGTATTAATTTTGAATTAATCTTAAAGTTTTCTGGAAAGTAAAGTCTGATCAAAATGTTTTCGAAGGCATGTTCTTAAGACATGTAAATTAATTAATGTTTGGTTTTGATAATGATCCTCGAGGACTCTTGGTTGCGGAGGATTAAGGGCCTGATCCTCTTCGACTGGATTCTGATTGATCTTTTTTGAATCTGAACTTATGAATAAAATTGGTTAAAAAAATGTTCTCTATTAATATTTACTCTTGTTAAGATAAATTAAAAGAATGATAGGCATTTTTAACTGATATTTCATGGCAACAAAAATATTTTTTAATAAGATATAACTCTTAAATAGATAAACAGATAGTTTTAAAATCATAAAAAAAATTAATGAAAAAATAAAACCGTAAATCAAAGACAAAAACAATTCTTACTTCGCTCGGAACATTCAGTTGTTTATGTAACTATAGGCTGACTGAAAAATATCATTCGACAATATCGACAAAAAAAAAATATG